ACGTCTAGAACATGCTGAAGTGAGACGTCTGCTTTAGCCAATCACAACAGTCAGACGCATTTACGTCCGCGCGGTTTGTGAGGATAAAAGCCTTTGAATATTTTTCCAGACACATTTAGCTGCTAGAAGTTAGTCAGATCACGTTTATATGTTCTTCTTAATGCCAACTGTGTAAATAATCATCGATGAGATGCTTATGATAAGCCGTTGTTTGTTTACCTTCAAGCTTTGCGTGCGCCTATGAGCGCCTGCACACGCACATATTATGAACATCTCGACATGCGAAAGTGATCCTGCGAAAGTTGTTCACAATATTGATCATCCACAGAGTCTGTAATTTAGTCAAATGTTTACAAATACAAGCGCAGCCGTTTAAAGCTCATTTGTGGTGAATGACGTCAGAATTTACCGGTATTTTGGAATGGATGTGTGAATGCTCTTTTCCGGAAAATTTCCGTAACGTCTTCGCCTGTGTGAACAGCGCTTTTTTGAATATACCGGTAAAGTCGTTCCGGAAATTTTCCGGATATTTACCGGTATCACTGTGTGAAAGGGGCTATTGGCTGCGTCCGAAACCGCCTACTACTCAGAAGGTACTGCATTTGAATTTAAACGTACTACTCGGCCGTTAGAAAAGTATGTTCTATACAGTATGAATTTGAAAAGTATGAATGGAATTCGGACGTACTACATCCGCCATTTTGTCATGGTCACGTGACCTACCTGCGTCAGTTGCGTCGCCTCACTTCCATTTATGAATTCTCTCACGGGGCATTATAGGATAGCGCAGCTTGCATGGGATGCGCACTTCAGAATCTCGCCGGAAGCAGTAAGTCATCCAGGTACTTCTCACCTACTGATTTTCGAATTCTATGAATTCTGACATACTACTCGGCTCGCATACTGATTTTAGCGTACTATATAGTATGGAAGTATGCGGTTTCGGACGCAGCCATTATGTCATCCTCATCCCATTCAGACCCTGATTGCTACACACCTGAGACACATTACCTGATTACACTCACACACATATAAGCAGCTCTCACTGGACACAGTCAAGTGCGAATTCTTGTTCTGCCCTGCTGACATTACTGAGCGCTATTCACTCTTGCCTGATCTCCTGTTGCTAACCCGGACTATTCCTCGACCTCGACTTGCCTTGCCTTGCCTTGCCTTGCCTTGCCTGCCGCGTGTCTAAAACCTTGCTTCATATCACCGACTATCACCTAGCTGCCTTCCTCTGACCCATGCCTACTACATCGACTCATGATTGCCAGCCGCCAGCCTATCGACCTTATTAGCCTGTTTCATGTGAGTTCACACACCAGTATCTACTGTGTGCTTGTTATTAGACTGTGTTTAATAAATGTACTACAAATGGATCCCTCTGTGTCAGACCCTTTGTTACAAATATATAATATAATTACACAAAACCACAGGATTCAGCTCTAAAAAGACCACTAACAATGAGAGTTAACTATAACAAAACTAAAAAACACACAGACATCAACATATTGTCTTTGAATCTCAATAATGGTGACAAAAAAAAAATCTAAATCAAATAAAAACAACCCAGAACTATATGAAACTCTACTAAAATAATACACCCCAAAAACAACAAACTAAAAGCAGAGAAAGAAATTGTAAGAACTTTAAGCTGCATAATTTATTCATTCTGCAATGCATGCTGGGAGTTTTGTACTATGCTGGAACCCTGCATGCATTGGCATGAATTAATTATGCAGCTTTTTTTTTTATTTTTTTTTTAGCAACCATGGTTGAGGTTTATATCCTGATTCTTGATGTCTGCGTGTTTAATTGTGCAGCTCTCAAGGTTTAGTGCATGACACTAATTTTAAATTTGTAATATTTATTTCTTTCTTCTCTTTTTGAAAATCTGCCGTGTCTCCCCAAACAGCATTGATATAAATTTGAAATTCTTTAATTATGACCTAACTTATAAAATGTCAAAAATTTATTCAGTAACAATTAAGTAGCGTATATTTTCTCATTGTCTTTCTTGCTGTAACTAATGAGTTTCAAAAACAGTTATATCAGCCTGAGAAACAGTAAGATAGAAGAGTACAGAATCAAGAGCCCAACTAAAGCAGCCTCTGCTCTACTTGATAATGACGTCAAATAAATAAATAAATAAAAAAAACATTCAATAAAACATATAAACCTCTATTCATTATCAAATATTCCTGCAGATATGAAAGGAAAGTTTTGTGTCCAAACTGTAATCAGTGAAACTGTTAATGCTGTTATTTGATGGAGGTGTTTAGTCCTCTGTTTTAATTAGGTTGGTTTGGTGTGTGGCTGTGTCTGTATGTGTTTATGTCGTTCTTTCCTTCAGTGATTGAGCTTGTTTACAGCAGCTGTTCATCAGTGTCTGAATTCACTCGTTGTGGTCATTCACTCTGTCTAATGGACTAAACTAATCGACTAATTTAGGAACTAGTGAATGAGGGTGTATAGGGAGATTTTAAACACTCTGATTACATTCTGGAAAACAAAGAATATATCTGTTACAGTTATTTTCCATATTTTGTAATGAGCTGTTAATCATTGAACAGGTTTTCACTCTAGTCTGTACAGACTTTTACTGTCAAAATCACCAATGTTTTTTCAGTGCATTAACCATAAATGCTATGCACTTTTTAAATTTTTACTGTAATCTTCATCTTTTGATTCCCATATAATAAGAGCGATTGTGGTGGTTTGAATCTACCTTCCTCTGTTGTTTTAAAAATAACCTATTGACCAAAATGTGGCACTGCAGAAGCTACACAAATCCCTTTCATTCATTTTCTTGTCAGCTTAGTCCCTATTTAAATCCAGGGTCGCCACAGCGGAATGAACCGCCAACTTATCCAGCAAGTTTTTACGCAGAGGATGCCCTTCCAGCCACAACCCATCTCTGGGAAACATTCACACACATTCACACACACTCATACTCATACACTACGGACAATTTAGCCTACCCAATTCACTTGTACCGCATGTCTTCAGACTGTGGGGGAACTCCCTTTCATTCATCTTAATTAATTGAGCTGTTTAAATTTGAAAACATAATTTTTCTATTTTTTCCAACAAAATTTTTTTTGGGTTTTAATAGACAATCATAAGTGAATTGTTTAATTTAAACATAGTTACGTTCTTTGGACCAACTATCCATTTTTTTGAGTGTAGTTGCACTCACGTTAAACTTCTTTGGAATAACATTATTTTTTTATTTATCGTCCTTATTTAAAGATGATTTAAATGTGTCTATAAAAGACATATTTCTCTATTTCTCAGGTAATAATCATGCTCTCGATTTTATTGTTAATTTGTTTGTTACATTTTTTTTAAACACAAAATAATTTCCTGAAGGCAATACTTAGATTTATTGCTTTCCTTGCTGAAATTTCATTCAATATTAAATCTCTTAAGCTTATTGATAATAATAGGAATAATAAGTTTCTTAAAGCTTATTATAATCTTTTTTTTCTTAATGATTGAGGCTTTGTTTTTTATGTTTGTGTGTGTTGTTTTTTTCTCTTCTTTCTTAAATTTTTGTTATTGTATTTTTTTCTTCAATGCAGTGATGTTGTTATTATTGTATTCAATAAAAAATAATAATAAATAAATTACTGCCAAAACAAAAATCAATAAAACAATTATTCACTGTATTTTGACCACTGTTACAAAACAAAAACAACTGACACTGTTAAGTGGTTAATGTACTTTGCATTTCCCATAATCTATGACAATAACATTTTGTTGGTTGATAATAATAGTCATTGACTATATAAAGGCCAGCTTACCTTAACTTTATTACTTATTGTTACGTGAAGTACTTTACTTCACTTTAATTTTGGGCTGAAATAGAAAATGCAGTTATTACTTACGTTAGGTTAACAGAAAATTAGCTTTACTTTTTCAGGAACTAACTCTTATAACATTACCTCACAAGCACAAACATTAACTTACAAGCGCCGTCTGTTAATTGCTTGGTTAAAAATGGCAAATAAACCGTCTGTTCCTGAATAACATGACATAAGAACCGACAACTAAAGCTACTTGGTTAATCTTTTAAATGACATGCACTATGCAGAAACATACCAAACAATCATTTAACAGACAGAATTAGACATTTCAACATGACAATGGGTAAAGTTCAAATGAGGCTTTGCCTGTGGTGACAGTGCTTAAGTGAATAGTAAAGAGTCAAATCCGCCTGAAATTGATTCCTTTTTTTATAATGATGTGAGACAACAGTGTGATTCATTACTAATTTGTTATACTGCTTGGCCACACAAATTGTATACACTAATTGTTCAATAATTGTATGTTGATGAGTATGACCTTACAGTTTTTTTTCGATTGCTTGGATGCAGTTGTCATCTGAAACTCCACCTTTTCAAAACAGTTAACACACAGGCCTAAACAGCAGCACTCATGGTCAAAATGACACATTATGCTTGCAAAAGGCACATATTGTGTCAAAACATTTAAAATATGCAACAAAAGCTAGTTTTACCTTCAAACAACACAACTTGCAAACAGGTATATGAGCTCTTTCAATTAATCATTACACAATGGACATATATATATATATATATATATATATATATATGCCTATATATATATAGGCCTATATATATATTATTATTATTATTTATTTTTTCTTTCAAATTGTCATCCAAACTGAGAGTTATTAGTGTACTGAAAGTAATTTTAAAGTTTTAATAATAATAATATCGAGAATATTTAAAATAAGATATGTATCTGTTGCCGTTAAAAATTACATGAACAATGTATAGCATTTTTACTATAACGAACAGATTAATATGTATCACTATTGTGTTATGAGACCCGGTGCTCTCTCTCTCTCTCTCTCTCTCTCTCTCTCTCTCTCTCTCTCTCTCTCTCTCTCTCGTTCTCACTCAAGATTTAGTGACAAACCTGTGATCCTTTTGTTGAAATGTTAGCCAATAGAGAAGGATTACGCCACCAGGCAGTGATATATAAGGGGAGCATTATAGGCATCGGTACAGTTGAAAAAAGCTTAGTATCAGCTGGAGCAGATAGATTATAAAATGATATTAAAACAAACTGAAATGCATTAAGGAACGATATTTAAAAGAATTCGATAAAAGCCGTCGCTTTGTTTTTTTTTTTATGAAATAGGCTACATCTTCTAGAACGTCTTTATTCGTATTTATATATTTAATTCGTCTTTCAAACAAAAATAAAGACAATAACAACTGTAGCCTATTTTTAAAAATCAAGAGAAAACCATTGTTTCCTGATATTTAACAACATGAAAAGGTATAACTTTTTACTGTGCTTAACGGTACTTATTTCTCTGGGACTGTCCGGAAGCGATGAGCCGAACCTCTTTCTAGCCCCACTGAGCGAGATGTCCTCTGATATTGGAGTTTCTCTCTTTGACGTGGATGATGTGGAGTCTTCTGAGTGTTCAGCGTGCGTGTGGAGAGAACAGAGTAAAGTCTTGCGACTGGAAACAATTAAATCACAAATACTTAGCAAACTGCGCTTAAAACAAGCACCCAACATCAGCAGAGAGGTGGTTAATCAGCTTCTTCCCAAAGCACCTCCGCTGCAGCAGCTGTTGGACCATCATGACTTCCAAGGGGACGCATCTTCCTTAGAGGATTTCATAGACGCCGATGAGTATCACGCCACCACCGAGTCCGTCATCACAATGGCTTCAGAGCGTGAGTTACAAAACTTCAAGCTTCAAGCTATCTTTGCTTAAGATGCATAACTGATGTCTGTTTCATTCACAACACTCTCGCTCCAATTTTCTTTTTTCCTTCAATCGCATTTACACAACTGTTTTGCACAGTTAAAGGACAGCCACGAATATGCCACAGCATCTTTACAAACCCTTAAAGGATGACATGAAAGAGAAAAATGTGTTTTACGTAATTTACAAATATTTTTCAGATACAATAATACACATAGCCTATGATGCGAGATCTCTAACCATTTATGAAAGCCGTCTTTGTTGCGCCTGTTACTGTTTACTTGAAAATAATCAATATCTTTAGGCAGTTGCATTGAATGTGGTTTACATTTACGTTATGCTAGTTACAAAAACAACAACAACAACAACAACAACAACGGAGAGCTATACAATATTTTTATATAATAAATGGTGCACAAACATGCTTTCTTGCTGGTCAAGAAACAGAGTCCCAAAGTAGCCTACTATTTTCTCCCACAGCAGCAGCAGTCCACGACTTGCACTTCCCTTTTAAAAGTGAAGTTTATAGGCACAGGCCGTTTTTTTCACCTCACGGCGACACAATGCTCATGGAGCTTGGGTCGAGGGGAGTGTGTGACCTTTCCGCTTAGAATAGCCGGGGTTCAACAACATTTACACACATAATGTATTCCGCACAAGGCAGATGAAAAGCCGAGCAAATAATCCGTTTTTTTCTTTCTGACCAGAGTGAACAAAGATAGGGTTGTGTTCCCCTAACTAACCTCTGCCTTGATTGTCACACAGCCCACGTTCCTGCTGGCATAATGAACGCGCTTGACATTCAGGAGACGAATCACATAAATGATAATTTAACGGCTGCAAAGCTAATGGACGCCTTTTATAAATAACTATTTGTTTTCAGAAATTATTGTTGTAACAATGCAGTATGAGAGTAGCATGGGAAACTGACTGTCATATAGATTTGTCTGTATTCGCACATAATTAAACATCATTTGATACATGTCTATAAATTTAGACCAGGCATTACTCTCAGTCAATGTTTTTTTTTTTGGTTTTTGTCAGTGATTCTTGGCTTGCACCCTTACCTCTCCCACTCCCCATCTTCCAGTGATTCACTGACTTGTTGAACTTACTGAAGTGCACAAGAAAACATTTACAACAGTAATTATAATCTGCAAACTGCATTAACGGGTATCTAAAAAACACCAAGCTGTGCTCAATGCAGAATACAGAAATGCAAAATGAGGGGTTTTGAATGTCATGGGATATTTATATATTTATTTATTTTTCGACGAAATACCGTTTAAACTTTTCTTTATGTTCTGCAAAAAATTGTACTCTGCAGTACACTTCCATAGAAACACACATTCATCAAGTCAGAGAGGAAAAGGCCTCCTATTGACAAGAAGGGTCAGAGAGTTCACAGCAATGTGATATATTGGATGAGGAGCCAATTAACCTTTTCAGGTCTTTTTTCTTTAGCAGCAAAAGAGAACTAGTAGATTAAACACTACTACCCCCACCTAAAATGTCAAACAGGATGGGTTGGAGATTAAACAACACTACCAGCATTTCCTCCCCCACCTAAAATGTGTTTTTCTCTCTCACACACAGTTGCATACACATTTATACACACACATGCACAAACACTTACTCACTAACCACTCCCAACCAGGGAAAAAACAAAAAAACAAAAAAGTTTTTTTATTGTGTTGACCCTATAAAAGGGTAATTTCCTCAAGGTGCAGGAACCATAAACATCAGAACAGAGAATGTTAAAAAGACATGACAGTTCTGTGTGTGTGGGGAGGTTTTTAGTATTAATGTTCTGTGTGAACACCTGTGTCTGAGACACACTCTCATTCTTTTTGTTCATCTTAGAGAGTAAATGACAGATAAAATAAATTAAGAAAAGAAACCCAAGTGCAAACCCTGGTAAACGTAGTTTCTATCATGTTTTGTAAAATAAATAAAAAAGTAAAGGCACTAAAGAACATACGTTTAGTAGCAATAAAATTATATTTAATAAATGTTTTGGCTAATAAACTTTCAATGAAACTAAAGTCCATCATATCCTGGATACAATTTCACTGCACTCTCAAGAATGCTTCTCTTTCTTTCTCTCATTCTCTTTCCAAATCTCATGGATCTGTGCTTGTCCTCCCCTTTGGAGCAAATCCAAACCCTGTTAAACAGGTACTGATCACAAACAAACAAAAGATTCGTATAGAACATATTGAACAAGTAGATACAACTTGTTCAAAGCTCCTGTTGACTAAGAGGTCAAAAATGACATGGCAGCAGCAAATTAAAAAAAAATATATATATTATTCTAAAATGACTGCAATAACAGAAAAAAAGGAATCATTCTTTTTATTTTCATATTTTCTTAAAAGCTGTGTTCATTTAGGGTTCAACGGTCACATGTAAAATTATTTTTACACAACAAAAACTACTGGAGCACACACATGCACACTGCAACACATATACACACCGTAAGAATTTTTATGAATACAGTCTTGCTAAAATCCTTTCACATGTATAAAGTTGCTTTTAGCTTTAGAAAATATAACATTTACTTTAGTCAAAAATGAGTGGCGGCCACTGGTTAAACATGCGAAATAAACACCATGAAAGAAAAGCTAAACACTCACAGAGTTTGTGATGAGATGAGGTTGTTTCTTCATGCTAAATGTAGCAACTTTATTTTAGTGAAGGCAGGTCATTTTTGACCTGAAGGGTAAACAATATGTATAGAGAAATCCAAGACAACAGAAGGGGTAAAGATTTATCTTAATCAAAATCATGTTTTTTTAAAGGCTGTAGTAAAAACAAACAAACAAAAAATTACTTTTCTTTCTAAGAAAGTAAGTTTTCTTCTCACTAACGCTTTACTTACTTTTTCAGTCACCAATTTAGTCCATTAAATTTGGTGACTGGCAACGGAAGTAAACTGTTGGAATTAAATCATCAACACATGACCATGCTGACTACTAACATGAGTTATGCCATTAATAGATATTAATACAAAATAGGAAATTAATTAGACAAAAAAAAAAAAAAAAACACCAGAACTATCCTTAACAAAAAGATGTTTGCTGCTGTAAAATGTATTACATTATTAAATTAGTATTTATTATTAATTATTAAAACAGAGGTCAGAAGATGGTCCATTTTTCATTGTCAGTCTTCTCATTTTAGTTGCCAAAAAGAAAAATAATGTTACCAAACATGAATATTAATTAATTCATTTCATGAATTATTTATTGGGACAGATTGCCATTTAAAATTAGGCCATAACAATGATCTGTGTGCCAAGGGGGAATAAAAAATAATAATAAGATTATGTCTAGGCTCAGATGGAGACAAATACACAAATGTGATAGCTTAAGACTCATCAGTAGTCTAATGCTGCATCATTTGTGATTGTCTACAATTGAACATCTGAGCCAAGACATAATCTCTTTTTTGGGGGGTGGTGGGGACTTTACCCTAGAACACTTTTGTTTGGCAATGTTATTTTGTTCTCAATTTAGGTGTTCTTGGTAAACAACCTTATAAATCAAATAGAATGAAGTAGTTAGAATAAATGCATATATATTGTATAATGTAAAATCCATGTAAACCTTGGATGAGAAGATTGTCCCAAAAATGTGTAAAGCGCTTTATGAATATAATGAATTATTATTATTATTATTATTATTATTATTATTATTACTATTGTTATTATTAAACCAGGTGTGTGTGTGTGTGTGTGTGTGTGTGTGTGTGTGTGTGTGTGTGTGTGTGTGTGTGTGTGTGTGTGTGTGTGTGTAATATACTGTAAACTACATCACTAAATCTAAATTTTTGAGTTCTGATTACCTTTTGTTAAAGGAATATGACAATTTAATAAATACCTATTAACAAATCTACAAGACCTGCATTGAGTTTTGCAGCCATTTGTCAACATTTTGTTTGTTTATACTTAAAGAAATCAGATTGTCAGATTGTTGTTTCCCCCTAAGTTTTATTTTCTTTTTAGCAACATACATCAGAAGTATTGCTTTTCTGGAAAGATAAAAACAAAGCATTTGTCAGGAGTACTACAGTTTTTGCATTTAATTTGTTTTGCTGCACAATATTTCAAACCTATTTGTGATTGTTGCATTTTTGCAAAAAGTTTTGTTTGTAACAATAACATTTCACCATGTCTATGGTTTAACCAGAAATATGTTTTATTATTTTTTTACAACTCAAAAATGTGTAACCTGGATAAAAATGTAAGTCAAGTTAATAAACATTCATGTAGTGCAATGACATTGAAAATGTTTATAATGTGCAATAAAACTGGAAAAAAAAGCACGGCAATGCCCAGTGAAAAAAAAAAAAGTTGAATAAAATGGCAAAAATGTATATACTGTAAGGTTCGGGGAAATATTAATACAGCATAGTATCACAATATCTCCTGTGGTAATACTTTATAGATACATGGAATGCCCGATCAACATATGCAACGAAATAGTATAAATACAATATTGTTGATATTAAAACAGTTTTCTTTACATGAATTCATTTGGATGGTGTTGCTTTTTTCTGGAGAGCTGTCAACTTTAGCATTCAGTAAGCTCACCTGACACTGACCAATTTAGTTACTATCTAAATGAATTAATTTATTAACAAAGTAAAGATTTTAAGATAATTTTATACATTTTTATTTTTTTAAATATATAATTTTATTTCAGACAAGTTTGTTTACATTTGTAAAATAAATCTTTGAAATGAGCAGCAAAAAAGAAAAAAAAACACAAAAAATAAATGAATTAGCTAAATTAATTGAGCAGCTTATTGTATTTTTGTCTTAATGTGACAAATACCTCGCATCAAAATTCCACCCACCATTTAATTGTTATCAGCCTGATTAGACATATGTCACTCACCACACTGTTTCCTTAGTTTGCTATATAACAGTTTGTTCAAGAAATATACAAAACCCAGGTTAAGTCT